CCCCACTCGGGCCTTTCTTCTTTACGTCCACCCCGGATGCCACTCATTTACTTGTTTATCTAGCTGCGCAGCCACATTTGTTGGCCCCACAGGTGGAGGCCCAGATGCCATGGTGAGTGGGGCACTCACAAGCAGGACCAGCTGGGCTGTGGCAGAGAAGTGTGCCCATTGCTGAGACTCAGAGGCAGTGGGTGCCTCCTGGAGGGGCGGGCATTGGGCTGAGCCCAAGGATGGCAGGAAGAGGAGAAGCGTGCTGTGTAGCTAAGGGTGCATGGCAAGGGCAGCATGGGGGGTGGGGCGCGGTGTACAGGTGAGGTCTGGGTGTGCAGGGAGGGTATTTTCTGGAACAGAGGCTAGAGAGGTGGGCCCAGTCGGGCTGTAAAGAGCTATCTTCCTGTGCCATCCTCTAGAGTGGGCTGTCCCCATGGGTAGTCCCTCTGCCCCGGCCTCTTCCCCTTTGTCTGTTCTCCATGCTGCAGGCAGAGGGGCGCTGGGAAATGCAGAACTCACGAAGTTACACCCTTGCTAACAAGGGAATCCTGTGAAATCCTTCACAGACCCTGTGGGATGACCGGGCCCTCCAGCCACTCCATTTGGGGCCCTCACCCTTCAGCCCCTCTGATCTTTCAGCCCCTTGCACTTCCCATAGCCCTGTTTGCCATTCGCCACAAATGGGGGGGGGGGGGGGGCGGGCATGCATGCAAATGTGTTAGAATGCGGCCTTCTCCTTCCAAAGGGACAGGCCTCCTTCCAGGGTCTGCAGGCGTGTCCTCAAAGCGCTTTCTTCCTGAAGTGACCCGCACTCCTGTTCCTCTATTTCCAGAGAGCCCCCAGTGCTCCCTGGGGGTGTCCTAGCCTTGCCTCTGCTATGAGGTCACTGCCAAGATCTCTCCCCCCAAGCCTGGCTAACGGTGGGTACCCTGCCCCCTTCCTGCTTCGGGGCTCCAGGCCCAGTGTCTTTCTCTTCCCTCCCCACGCCTCTCCCTCTCACTGACTAGTTCTTTCATTCACTTGTCTCATTTCCCTGACACCCCTCCCTCCTGATTTGGACAAATCCCCATTATGTGATTTCACAGTGCCCTGTTCTGTACGCACTCTCATCACAGGTTACACTTCCACACCTGCGGGACCTGTCACAGGGCTGTCTCATCCCCACTTCCCCCTACACTGCACACTCCACTTTGTTGTTGTTAATCCACCCAAGCATATTTTTTTCATTGATTTTTAGAGAGAGTGGAAGGGAGGGAGGGAGAGGGCGTGGGAGAGAGAGGTGAGGGGGAAAGAGAAATGGATGTGAGAGACACATCGATTGGTTGCCTCCTGCACATGCCCCCAACCAGGGGCCGGGGATCGAACCTGCAACCCTCGATCAGGAATTGAACCCCAGACCTTTTGGTGTGAGGGCTGGCCCTCTAACCACTGGCCCACACCAGCCAGGGCCAGAAACTGTTTTGCCACCATTTCATCCCTAGCACCTAGCGTAGTGTGCACACAATGGTTCTGACAAACGTGTTAGCTAGGTGAACAATAGAACCGTATCAACGCGACGGTGCTTGAGGAAGACGCTCAGAGTTCAGGAGAGATGCTAGAGCGGGCAGCTGGCCAGCCGGGGCGGCAGCAGCAAAGGGTTCTGAGAGGAGGTGACATCCAAGTGGAGTCCTCGGTCAGCCAAGTGAGGGTGGATGGCAGGGGAAGGAAGGAGACCCCTGGCTGGAGGGCAGTGTAGGCAGCATAGGAAAGGAGTGCAGCGGGGTGAGGAGCATGGAGCCTGCAGCCACCAGCCTGGGCCGGAGTCCTCGGTCCTCCGCTCACTTGTCATGTGACCCTGGGTGAGTGACTTAATCTCTGTGTCTGTTTCCTCATTAACAAGTGGGGGTGCCAATAGTACCTGTCTCATGGGTTCACCGCCCTTCCCTCAGCCGTTCTCTGAGCACTTGCCACGTGCCGGACCCCTGTGCCGTGCCCTGGATTGCACCAGCTCATGCAGCACCACCCCCAACAGCCCTATATGGTAGGGACAGTTTGTGTTAATGTTGAGGAAACTGAGGCCCAGAGTGGTTTGGTCACTTGCCAAAGGTCTCACACCACAGCTATGAAGGGCAGGGTGTAAGCCCCGGAAGACGGCTCCAGCCACCAGCACCTTGCCTGCACTTCTACCTCTGGGAGGCCAGGGTCCCGGTGGCTGCCCCACAGGCCCCTCCCTGGGCTTTCCCCAATTTCCAGGGTTGAGGTCTCCTCCAGCCTGAGGCCTTGTGCGACAGCCCCTTGTGTCCTGAATTCTTGGTCATTAGCCAGGAATGCCTGGCTGAGTAGCCTCCCCAGGAAGGTTGCAGAGCCCGTTTGCCAGGCCCCTCCCAGTCCTACCTAAGGAGGGCATAGGCACGTGGATTTGGTAAGTGCTGTGCTTTGATGTGCGGCTCTGATGAGGACCCACTGACCTGGGTCATGTTCATGAATTTCTGGATCTTCCCAGCTCACTGAAGTTTTGTCTGTTTCCCAGCCTCTTAGCAGGAGGGGTGCAGAGGAGCAAGCCCGTAGCAGAGTGGGGTTGGGGAAGGAGGGCAGGGAGGTGTTCGAGGTGAGTCATGGGGGCAGCCGTGTCCTCCATCTTGGAATAAGGAGGAAGCACTTCAGAAGTGCCGTTCTGGAGTCGACAGGGACACAGGGACACGATGGAAAGGTCTCTTACTTCATTTCGGGGCTGTAGCCTGACGTGAGGCGCTGGGGCAGCCCTGAGGCCTGGCTTTTCCTGCCAGAGCTGCCAGGTTGTTGGGACATCTCACACCTGCCACTGCCTCCTGATTCTTTCTGCTCTTGGCTCTTGGTTCTTCCCTCTCCCGTCTCCCTGTTCCTAGCTCCTTGCCTTCCAGCCTGCTGCTGCTGCTGCTGCTGCTTAAAACTTGGCAGTGCCTCTGACACGCTTTGATCCTCGCCTCTGAAGCCTTCCCCAGGGAGGGAGGGAAGTGCTTGCTTTTGTGCTCACCCAGTCACTCCCAGGCCGTCCTTCTGAGGATGAGTTTTCACTGTAGCTCCAGGGAGGGAGCCTGCTGGCTGCTTCCCCCAGCACATTCCCCCACTGGGAGCGCTGGGTGCTCTGCTCCCGAGCTCAGGGAGCGCAGCCCTGGAGCTTGTTCCCATTCTTCTGCTCCATGAAGCTCAAGCAGAGAGGAGTGAGACTGGGCCAAGGGGAATGGCAGCCATGGGCCAGGGCTAACCGGGCTGGGCAGAGCCCTGGAGAGAGGAAACCACTCCATGCTTCTGACCAGTAGCTGTGGACCTTCACCAGCTCAAGTCCACACACAGCCCTTGAAGCTGAGAGCTTGTCAAGTCCCACATTTGCAGAAATCAGCATTCCTGTGTGGAAACAGCCATACTGCAAACACTTGCAAGGATACATTCTCCAGAGAGCCTTGTCCCATCAGCCCTTGGACTCAGAGCCAAGGCTTCCTGCAGGAGCCATTTTTCAAGTTGGGAGGGGGAAATAGGTCTCAGGTATTTTTAAACTTCTTCATTCTTTCCCCATTGATTTTTCTTTAGAGAGATTAGAAGGGAAGGAGGGAGGGAGAGGGAGAGAAACATCTATATGAGAGAGATACATCGATTGGTTGCCTTTCGCACACGCACCCTGACAGGGGCAGAGGGATCAAACCTGCAACCCAGGTACATGCCCTTGACCGGGAATTGAACCCATGACCCTTCGGTCCACGGGCTGACACTCTAACCTCTGAGCGACACTGGCCAGGGCTTTACATTTCTTGAAGCCGTGCCTTGCTGTGTTTCTGTTTAAATTGGGCTGATTAGCCAGGCTTCCACTCTGCCCCCGCCCCCCTCTTCCTCATACACATTTGAAAGGACTTTTTCATTTGGTAAGTGGATCATAAATATTTCAGGAGGAACAGAAGGTTTCTGACTTACCAACCTTCAATTTTGGAAAGATTAGATATATTGACACGTGAATCTGTAGAAGACTGGCGCCACTTGTGAGAGCAAAAGGCAGGCCTGCAGCTTGACTGGGGCTTCCTAGAGCTCAGGTGATGGGGCTTCCCCCAGCCAGCTGGCAGGGGCTCCATGCAGGAAGTGCCTCCTAGGTCCACACCTTTGTTTAATCCTGACTTAGAGTAAATTAAATAACATGCCAGATATAAGGACTGTACTTGTTAGGGGGCTGCTGGGGACTCTAACTCCCAGTTCCAACAGTGACTTAAGGAAGAATGCGTTTCAAGTTCCAAATAATCAACTGATAAGTGAGCTTTTGAACAGGCCCACTTGTAAACAGGGGACTGCCTATAATTCTGTGAGATTCTCTCTGGGAATCCACAGCAGATCCCTTACCTAAAAGCACACAATTCCTTGGGTTTTGAGGAGACTAAAGTTTTCTCAGGGAAAAAGGAGTTCCATGGAACTGGGGAGGAGCTGAGCCCCAGGCCTACGCAAGGACCTGGCCGTTCTCTCTCTGTGGTCTCCTCAGTGCACACGCACCGTGGGCTGGTTTTTATTTTGGACAAATACTTGCATGTTATACAAAAGTCAAAAGGGCTGCAAATAGACAATCAAGTGAAAAATCCCCCTGTCCTCTCTGTCACCCAGTTCCCTCTTCAGGGGCAGCTGAAGTTACCAGCTTCTTGTGGCTCTTCCCAGAGCTTCTCTTCCCTGGCCGGCGTGTGCACTGTGTCTGTGTCTGTTGTCCTTGGGTAACTCAAACAGGAGCACCCCTATGCACTGCTCTGCAGATGACTATTCACATTGTCTGCTCCATGGTGATGCACAAGGAGTGTGTTCTTTTGCGCAGCTGCATAGTATTCCATTATATGGATAAATAAGCTTTAATTTACCCTGTTTCATGTTGATGGGTGTTTAGTTTCTTTCCAATCTTTTACAATTACAAACATGCTACAGCAAATAACTTCGTAGATATGCTAGTTCACAAAAATGGCAGTGAATCTGTAGGACAGTGTCCCAAAGTGTAATTTTTAAGAATCTTAATATGTCCTTTTCTCCAGGCCAAAGGATGCCATTCGAGCCCTGAAGAAGCGGCTAAACGGGAACCGGAACTACAGAGAAGTGATGCTGGCATTGACAGTGAGTACTGTCCTCCAGTGGATGGGAAAGCGTCTTGGAAAATCCATGTTCTCGACCTTGCCTCACCTCAGGGCTTCCCCTCTGTCCACTCAGCACAGCCTCCAGCGTGTGCCATTGGATGGCATGGTGTGTGTGCCACTAGAGTCTAGTGGAGCTTTCCCATAGCACCCTTGGGTGCCAGTTTCCTCTATAAACTGCTGACTTCCACCCCAGTACCTTCCCTGCTGCTGAGCTTTTCAGAGGTTAATGCAAATGTTTACAATAACCTTCCCAAATAGGTTTCATCATCTCCCTCACTGGGATGAAAACACCGAGCTCAGAGAGGTCATTACCAGACTTCACAGCTAATGAGATACAAAGGATTGTAAGAAAGTATTATGAATAAGCCAACAAATTGGACAACCTGAGAGAAATGGACAAATTCCTAGAAATATACAATCTTCCAAAACTAAATCAAGAAGAATCAGAGAATTGTAATAAACAGATTACAACTAGAGAAATTAAAGCAGTAATCAAAAAACTTCTAAACAAACAAAAGCCCTGATGGCTTTACAGGTGAATTTTACCAAAGATTCAAAGAAGAACTAACACCTATCCTTCTCAAACTATTCCAAAAAATTCAAGAGAAAAGAAGACTCCCAAGCTAATTTTATGGGGCCAGGATTATCCTAATTCCAAAGCCAGATAAAGAAACTACAAAGATAGAAAATTATAAGCCAATATCCCTGATGAACACAGGAGCTAAAATCCTCAACAAAAAATTAGCAAATCGGATCCAATAATACATTATAAAGATCATACACTATGACCAAGTGGGATTTATTCCAGGCATGCAAGGCTGGTACAATATTTGCAAATCAAAAAACATAATTCACCACATAAACAAAAAGGAGGATAAAAATCACATAATCAGCCCTAACTGGTTTGGCTCAGTGGATAGAGCATCAGCCTGCGGACTGAAGGGTCCCAGGTTCGATTCCGGTCCAGGGCATGTACCTTGGTTGTGGGCACATACCCAGTAGTGGGATTTATTCCAGGGATGCAAGGCTGGTATAATATTCACAAATCAGTAAACGTTATACACCACATAAACAAAATGGAGGATAAAAATCACATAATCACATCAATAGATTCAGAAATGGCATTTGATAAAATCCAGCAACTATTCATGATTAAAAACTCTCAGCAAAATGAGAATAGAGGAAGTATTTCCCAACATAACAAAGACCATATATGACAAACCTATAGCCAACATCATACTAAATGGGCAAAAAATACAAGCATTCCCCTTAAGATCAGGAACAAGACAGAGTTGTCTGCTTTCACCACTCTTATTCAACACTAGAGGCCCGGTGCATGAAAATTTGTGCACTGGAGGGGTCCCTCAGCCCGGCCTGCCCCCTCTCACAGTCCGGGAGCCCTCAGGGTATGTGCCCACTGTTTCTATTTTCATGAAATATCTCTTTCCAGCCCTTTACTTTCAGTTTGTGTGTGTATCTTTTAATGTGAAGTGAGTCTCTTGTAGACAGCATATATAAGGGTCTTGTTTTGTTACCCATTCAGTCACCTTATGTTTTTTTATTGGAGCTTTCAAAGTAATTATTGATAGATATGTATTTATTGCCATTTTATGATTCATATTTTTTATCTTTTTTTTCTTTCTTTCTTAAAGAAGACCCGTTAACATTTCTTGTAGTGCTGGTTTGGTGGTGATGAACTCCTTTAGCATTTTCTTGTCTGTAAAGCTCTTTATCTGACCTTCAATTCTAAATGATAGCTTTGCTGGGTAGAGTAATTTTGGTTGTAAGTCCTTGCTTTTCATGCTTTTGAATATTTCCTGTCAATTCCTTCTGGCAGAGTTTCTGTTGAGAAATAAGTTGACAGTCTTATGGGCACTCCCTTGTGAGTTACTAACTGCTTTTCTCTTCTTTTAAGATTCTCTCTTTGTCTTTAACCTTTGGAATTTTAATTATGATGTGTCTTGGTGTGGGTCTCCTTAGGTTCATCTTGTTTGGGACTTACTGTGCTTCCTAAACTGTATACCTTTTCCTTCACCAAGTTAGGGAAATTTTTTGTCATTATTTTTTTAAACATGTTTTCATTTTCTTGCTCTCTCTCTTCTCCTCTGGCACCCCCATGCTATGAATGTTGGTACTTTTGATGTTGTCCAAGAGGCCCCTTAAGCTATCCTCACTTTTTAAAATTCTTTTTTCTTTTTGTTCTTCTGATTGGATGTTTTCTGCTACCTTATGTTCCAAATCACTGATTCTTTCCTCTGCTTTATCTACTACTAGAGGCCCGGTGTACAAAATTCAGCCCGGCCTGCACCCTCTCCAATCCGAGACCCCTCGGGGGATGTCCGACTGCCTCTAGCAATCCGGGACCACTGCCTCCTAACCGCTCACCTGCCTGCCTGTCTGATCGCCCCTAACCCCTCTGCCTGCCTGCCTGATTGCCCCTAACTGCTCCCCTACCGGCCTGATTGCCCCTAATTGCTCCCCTGCTGGCCTGATCACCCCCAACTGCCTCTGCCTCACCCCACACCCAGCACCCAGGATTCCCTCCTCCGGCCGGTTGCAGGTACCCAGGACCTGGGCTTCCCTCCCTCTGGCCAGCCGCAGGCACCCAGGACCCGGGCCGACTTCACCCGGGCGAGCTGCAGCCGCAGGGGCCTGTGGGCGGGTGGCTTCACCCGGGTTGCAGCCTCAGGTGCCTGGGACCG